AAATCTCTTCCTCTACATCACTATCCCAGTTCATAAGCTGCGATAATACTTCTTCAGCTGAAAATCGTCTGGAGCCACTTTGTGTCTGGGTCAAAATGACCCGCAACATCTTTGTATACAAACTGTGTGCAGACACTCCACGACACATCAAAGTGTCCAGATTTTACACAGCAGTTCATGACCCTAGATGAGGAAAAGTCATAAAATTTTGTTGAAAAAAAGTAAGGATAACCTGCACTTTGGTCAACACAAAAATTGAAATGGGTCAAATTGACCCTAAACATAACATAAGGGTTAAACTGAAGACTAGGAAAGGGATACTATAACAACATTTTGATGACACCAGGAACGCAGAGAGTCTTTACATCTTCTGCCGCAAACTAAAAGACACTTTAATTGTACTTATAATAGCTGATCTATAGTAAGTTGTAAACCATCTTATTTTATGAAATTTCGCTTGTTTCCTGTTCTTCTAGGTTTGTAGATGCACTTATTTAAAGTCGCTTTGAATCAAAGCGTCAGCTAAATGACATGTAATGTAAAGTGAAAACAAAGAGTATAGGTTCATCTATAATAATATAACATTCTGCTGTTGAAAATGAGGATGATTATTTTTTACAATAACTGGGTGGTGAATTGATATTTTTCCTGAGCCTCAGGGTCTACCATGATCAAAGGTATAGTGTAGTCATGCCAAACGAGGATTAATCGCTTAGTAGCAGATTTAATCATCTCAGAGCTGATTGAAGTTTGTGAATTCAACCTTAATAGCCCCAAGCTAGGACTGTGAGGGTGATGGTACTTGTGAGTTTGACTGAGGAAGAAAATTTGTCCATGGGTAATCCAACATATGTATCATATATATATAGGAAAAATTAACTTTAATGTATTTTGCACTGTCGTCAACCGAAATAACCAAAAGTGACATTCCTCTTTAGGCTATTGTTACGTCCCCTGACGTGACTCCGCCCTCTTCTATGGAGGGGGCGGGGGGAATTATCTATCGGGTGATTCACCTGGAGCAGCGTCACCTGAGAGGCTTCAGGTGATTAGTGGGCTAGATAAGGGCTCCCTGACCCAGTGCTCTCGGTGGTTGATTTTTTTCTCTTCTTCTTCCTGAGAACCAGCAGACCTTATGGGTATAGTGGCTGAGGGCAGACTATCAATGTGTGGGAAGTGTGAAAGGGTTCTCTGCCATTTCTGTTTCTATTTTTCCTCCTGTCTTGTGGATAGAGAGGGAGGTCAGTATTGTTTTTCCTTTTCATACGGTATACCTTTTTTTCTAGCTAGGGTGGGGTTTCTGTTTGTTGTTTTGGCCTTTGAGACCCTGATGCCTTTTGCTTCTGATTCAGTTGTTGACTTTTGTGTTAATTAAATTGTTGACAATTATAGTCACTGTTGTTCAAACCGCGCGAACGCCTTGTTTATCTCCGTCGTTCCACCTTTTGTCAAGACTACCTTTGTCTACATTACGCCTGTGCACCCCTAGGCACGATAGGCAGGCCATATTGTGCTTAGCTATATTCAGATGAGAAAATGTTAATCGAGTCAATTTATTATTGCAGTCTCTAATCAATATTATAAATGTATACTGTTCCTAGCTTGCATGACATTGTTTTCCTAGAATCTGTGAAGGTACCTCTGAGTTTATGTTGGTGACCTAGGATCTATTGCATTGCTCCTGTGTAGCCCTAGTGGAAGAGGAAGATTGTGGCTTCAGGAGATGGTTAATTGTGGAAAAAGCTGCAAGTTTCATTTATTATGCTGGAATAGGACTGAGTGAACATCTTTAAAGGAGTTAGATTAGGCCCTTTGATGGTCACAAAAAGCCAGTTCATGGTCAGTGAACCCAGAGCGTCTGCAGCGTGTTCCAGCACACGTCCAGCTGTTTTTATTTTGCTCATGTGTGAGGCAGCGGAGAGCGGAGTGTGAGCAATTGACTTCACTTGACTGGAGAGGTACATGGAGAACAAAAATACTGCTCAGTGATATATTATAGTTAAACTAATTAATCCATTAATGCAGAGACTGGAAGGGTGATGAGCTGATCAGATCCATGGTCATAGTAGCTGAGTCAATGTATTTCGAATTCATTTGACAATTTGATCCAATAGTAGGCAAGATAAAAGTCAAGGACATTGAGACCACCTTGGTCCTACATACCGAGATCATGAACCTGTAGGTTACTGACTGAGGCACACTGAGGAAATTTGCTGCAAACTGACAGGAGTTGTCGAGATGGATATTTGAATCACCAACAATGACTATATTAGTTGACATAGTGCAATGTCAAGTAAGGCGATCACTTATTTTAGGTAGAAAATATGGGTTTGGTTTTGAAGGATGTTATATGAAAAGCACTGTAATGGTATGGAGATTTGCATTTGAATGGTAAATGGACTGTATAGCGCTTTTCTAGTCTTCTGACCACTCTAAGCGCTTTAACACTACATGACATCATTCACCCATTCACATCCTGATGACAGGAGAACCATACACAGTGACACCTGCACATCAGTAACTAACTAACATTCACACACTGTAGTCGCAGCTGCAGGAGCAATGTTGGGTTAAGTGTCTTGCCCAAGGACACATCGACATGCGGGATAGCGGGGCCTGGGATCGAACCGACAACCCTCTGATTGGAGGACGACCGTGCTCCCCACTCACCCACACACGCCCGGCATTCATCCTGAAACATCAGGCATTGGCAGAGGAGACAGTTTTAGTTCAACCCGGTGCACGGTGGCTATTCAACCAGAGTTATAGCCATGTAACTGCATGCTTCATTAAGCACGGAATAGTCCCTTGGTTTATGTTAGGGATTTAAGCAGAAATGCACACCTAGTCGTAGAAAGTGTAATACATGTAGTAATGTTTAGTGTTAGAATTGTAATTTGTGTGTTAGATGAAATGGATGCAATATAATCAAACACAATTTATAGTCATGTAACTCATAAAAATATTGTACACAAAAAGATCAGCCACAATGTTAACGATAAGACCTGGAGACGAATGCTAAATTTGTCTTATGGATTTCTTCTGATCTAGTTTTTTCTCCTGTCAGGTACTGAATGAGCAAATGGATGCAAGACAGCCCAGCGAGGCAATTATTTTGAGTATTGGACCACATAAACATGTTAATGATTGTCAAACATTGTGATGAATTGTGAACTGAATTTATGTTATTAAAGTGTACAAGCTATTAGATTATGACAATATTATGCTGTACGTTATATTTACTCATTGAGGCATAAAGCTAAAGGTATACAGGTATTCATTAGATGTATTGGAACGTGGTGGGAAAGATAAGGCAGAGAGTTTTCAGGTTGCAGCAGACTCTCAAAGAAATGTGAGGGGGACAAACCAGGAGAAGACCCGTTTGATTTGTGACACACCCCGGGAGTTTTCGAAGAACTAAAACTGGAAAAGAACTGTTCGAATTTTCCTGCAGCCTCCATGATAAGTCTCATTAGACTTGGACTGGAAAATCTCTTTTTTCAAAATATTTTACTATTGACATTGCATTTCACTTTGTTTAGTTATTAAATACTTTCTGGATATTTAAACTCAAGCCAGTTGACTCTTTTGATCCATCGTTTCCAGCCGGGACGAGAACAAAGGTGTGTGATCCACCTTGAGTATTATATGAGGAGGAATCTATTAGTGAGGGATTGTGTGTTTTGCAGTTCCATGGCGGTAGGAGACAGAGCTGGTGGCGTTAAGCTCTAGTAAACTGCGATCCACCCACTGTATGGATAACAAAAAATGACGTATGAATAAATAAATGATTAAATACAATAAATAAAATAATAAATATAGAAATGTATAAATTAGGGCTGTCAACGTTAATGCATTAATCTATGCGATAATGTGGCCTAGATTAATGCAATAAAATATTTTAACGTGGTTAACATTCATTTGTTTCTTCCGGTCCCAGAATTAAAACGGAAGTTGACCACGGAAACGAAACGGCCGCAAAGTACCTTTTACGCAGGTACTCCTTTAAATATTCTGGGGCCTTTCTTTGTCTCGTAGGGTATCTCATTTCTCCCTCTTCTCTCTGAGTGCTATCTGGCTGGGTTGGGCCTGCCTCAGCAGTCTCTCAACAATTGACTCTCACTCTTAATCTCCTTAGGCTGTCCCTGACCCTGGTTGACTGTCTTCTGTGGTGTATCTCCATAACCTTTTGGGGATGAATTTCACCAGTCTGTGTTTTAGGACTTTTCCTGTCTCTGGATAATACACGTTATGTGCTGGACTATATTTATCATAGCCTACAAAGATCCCCTTATTGCATCTAGAATCCAGCCTTTTCTTATCCTGCTGATATACGTAGCATTCATAGCCAAATATCTTCATGTTAGGTAGGTTAGGTAGTGTTTTTCTTGTGAAAACATAGTAAGGTGTCTGCTCTAGCCGCTTACTGTAGCACCTGTTGCAGATTCGAGACATCTCGAATAAGGTTGTTCGACCTCTTTCGGCAGTTCCATTCTAATGAGGTGAGTAGGGTGCACTCTTCTCGTGCCTTATCCCGTTACTCCTAAGTAATGACTGGAACTCCTGCCCGGTGAACTCTGTGCCGTTATCAGATCTTATGCACTTTATCTTTCCATATGGAGCTACATCTGCTATGAATTTTTCTGTAGCTTTTGTCGTGTCACTCTTTGCTTTAATAAAGTATGGAAAAATCATCCCACTGTGATCATCAGTAAATGCTATTGCATATCTGCTGGTTCAATAGGACCGCATAGGTCTGTGTGTACTAGCTCTAGTACGGTTGTAACTGTAGCGTCTGCCTGTCTGTTTCTGCCTTGTGTATACTTTCCCTGTGTGCATATTTCACGGTTTTGATTGTACTTGTCTGTTTCCCTTTTATAGACATCCCTTCAACCACCTTTTCTAATTTTGCAACATCAAAATTGCAATGACCTAAGCCACATTTGAATGTCATGACAACCACACACTTAAATCAACATTTTGTAGGTAATACAGCCTACCATACACGTCCATCTTGAGCTTGGATCATTGTGGATCAGCCAGTCATTACCATCCTTGAAGCGGACCTCAGCTCCGTTGGCCGTCGCTGCTTTGACTGAAATGATTTTGTGGAAACGATGGGATGTAGAGTGCTTGCTTGAGCCTCGTTTTCATCTGTCGTCCATCGCTGTCCAGCAAGTAGACTTTGGCGTCTTCCCTTATCTTCGCCAGCCCGCTCACCTAGGATCCATCAGCAAGCTTGATCATGTAGTCCTCGGGTCTAAAGCTCTTGTCCACTGTTTTGCACTTTGTGGCGTTGTTGATCATGTGTGCTATGGTGCCGCAGTCGACCATGAGACCCTTCATGTTTCCTCTTTGTGTAGGACTCATCCTGAAACAGAAAAATGTATGGTCTGCCTCTGTCTCTCTATCAGCTTTCTTCATATGGTCAAGCCCTGTCCTCGGCTGCGTCCCCTTCCTCACTGTGGTGTGTCCCATTTTTGTTCCTCTCTTCTCACCTGGTATACGTCGGGACATGTTCTGGCCATGTGTCCCTTTTTACCGCACGTGTAACCCTCGATATCAGCCAGGTCCCATTTTCTTTCCTCTTCCTTGTGACCTCGTTGCCCCGCAAATCTTCATCACGTTGTCTTCTTCAACATTCACGGCACCCATATTTATCAGTACTCTCGTAACTCTGTTTAACTGTTTTAAACTCGCCGAATGTTAGTGTCATTTGTCTGGGTGATGTGTACGACGAATGGCTTGTATGAATCAGGCAGCCCCTTTACTTGCTCTTCTCAATGACGTGAATAGTCTCTACTCGAATAATATATTCAGTGACCGTTTCATTGATGGTCTTGTAGAGCAAGGAAAGTTCACAATACAAACTTACAACGCGAGGTTTGTCCTTTCTTGCGTAGTGCTCGTGAAGAATATTCAGCACTTTTCTTCCGCCACATTTCGCGTCTCTTATTACCAATGACAAGCTCTTGTTGTCTAGACATTGCACTAGTTCTGCATATGCCTCACCGTTCTTTGCCTCATCTTCAGGCGATAGTGGATTCGGGCTGTACGCAGTCTATGATTCACCGGAGCATGGTTCGGCCCGGGGCATCGGTGGAGGCATCGCGGTGTGTGCATGGGGACGTTCACGATTACCCTATAGTGTCAGTGGAATTTAGGCATATGGGAAAAAAAAGCATAGAGTGAAGGTTGCGGTTAGCTCCCGCCTGACGCACCCCGTAACTTTAGGAACACATTGGCCGGTATTTAACAAACTAATGGGGCAGGCTGCGGGGGTGCGTTCACGACCAACTTATGTGGTATGTGTGCTGTGCTCACCGGTGACGCAAGGTAGTACGACGCTGCAGACTGGAAGGGGGAACTCGGAGCATCCCGTGGAGACTCTACGGCACATGTGTCAAACTCAAGGATGTCATTTTATGTGGCCCGCGAGAGCTTAAAAGTTTTGAGTGTCTAAAAATAAATACCAAAAAATAAATTAAGAGCGTGCTTTGACCAAAAACTACATTTCCCACAATGCCTTTCGATGCGCGCTAGCCGCGGCAGTGTCCATGCCAACAAGTGGAATTGAGATATAAATAATGATGCCAAAATGTCCAGAAAGACAAAAGTTGATGTAGACGGAAGACTGTTTCAAGAAAGATGGAAAGGCGAATACTTGTTTGTGCTTCAAGGAGAAAGACCGGTATGTCTTTTGTGTTACGAGGCAGTGTCGGTTGTCAAAGAGTACAATCTGCGTCGACATTTTGACACCAAACACGGAGCTAAGTACGCTAAAGCTAGCCTTGAAGAAAAGCAACAAATTGCCCAAGAATTAAAAGGCAAACTGCAGTCGCAGCAGAGTTTGTTCGTGATCCACAGCCAAAAACGAGGCTGCGGTGAAAGCTAGCTTCATTGTGGCTGAAGATATCGCCCACGCTTCCAAGTCTTTTTCAGAGGGAGCGTATTTGAAGCAGTGCATGCTGAAGGTCTGTGAGCAGGTGTGTCCCGACCAGTTACAGACTTTTATAAATGTCAGTTTATCAAGCGACACCATCGCCGCCGAGTGAAGGAACTAGCAGAAAATCTTACAACACAGCTGGCCGAGGAGACACGCAGCTACACAGCTTTTTCATTGGCTGTTGATTAAAGCACAGATAACACGGACACAGCGGAGTTATCAATTTTTATTAGAGGCATAAAGTGGGACCTCTCTATCACTGAGGAGCTGTTGGATGTGGCTGCCATGCATGGGACCACGACGGGACAGGACATTTTTGATGCGGTGGAGAAGTCCGTGAGTAAAAATGCATTGCAGTGGGAAAACGTAGGATTAACTACAGACGGTGCACCGGCAATGTGTGGAGGAAAAGTGGGCTTGGTTGGACTAATGAAGGGGAAAATGCAAAAAATGAACTGTCATTTACGTTAGAATAAATAATGAGTTATTTAACATTAAGGAGTAGTTACATTTATTTTACATTACATTCGATTACATTTAGTTACATTTATAAGTTACATCAGGCCCTTTGAGGACAGCCATTATGCTGATGTGGCCCTCGGTGAAAATGAGTTTGACACCCCTGCTCTACGGGGTCCTAAGTTTCACTCCATGGAAGATTTTCCACTCTAACAGTCTCAGGACGATACTCTACGCTCAGCCTACAACCAAGTGATAAGAATTTATGGTCAGCTGGTGCGCCCTGACGCAGCGCAGTCATATCCACACTTTTCATTGATTAGGGACAGTCTGTATAGAGTGAATCGTGACACTCGGACGGCGCTGGGAAATGATTTTCCAGGCGGCTCACTATAACCCGATGGCTGGTCATATGGGGTACGAGAAAACACTAGACCGCATAATGACCCGATTTCATTGGCCAGGAAACTGGGGGGACGCGCGCCGCTGGTGTGCGTCCTGTCCGGAGTGTCAATTAGTTACGACCCGGCCATTCCGAGGGCGCCGTTGCGTCCTCTACCATTGGTGGAGGTGCCGTTTGAACGAATCTGCATGAACCTCATCGAGCCATTTCACCGCAGATATCGCGTTGTTTTAGTCTTTGTGGATTAAGCAACACGATATCCGGAGGCAGTGCCGTTGCGCAATATCTCTGCAAAGAGTGTCACGAAGGCTCTGTTTGAGGTCATCGGAATCCCGAAAGAGATTCTGGCGGACCAGGGCACCTCGTTCATGTCGCGTACACTTAGAGAAATTTATGGGTTACTGGGCATTAAGTCCATTCATACTAGTGTGTACCACCCACAGACTGATGGGCTGGTGCAGCGTATGAATAAGACTGTAAAATCCATGATCTGTAAATTTATTAACGAAGATTAACGTAAGTGGGATAACTGGTTTGATCCTCTGTTTGCAGTGCAGAATTTTCCCCAGGCCTCCATTTTCTCCCTTTTGAACTTTTGCTTGGCAGGACACCGAGGGGGGTGCTGCACCTAATCAAAAAAAAAATGGGAGGAAGGTCCGCGCCCCGGCAAGAAAGAGATCCAGTACGTCATGGACCTGCGAGCAAAGCCCCACACACTGGGTAGGATGTCACAGGAGAACTTGCTCCGGGCCCAGGAACGGCAACAACGGCGGTACAACAGAGTAGCCAGGCTGCGACAATTCACACCGGGAGAAAAGGTACTTGTATTACTTCCTTCTTCAAACTCAAAAGAGAGGAGCTGAGGCCGAAGGTGGCAAAATGATTTAATCCCACCTCATCTCTCCGAGAGCCAGAGAACGGACGTTGCCCAGTTGCTCGTTACTTTTATGATTGTCTTTAGAAGAAAACAAATATTCATAATGAACAACATAACAACAACATTCATTAATCATTAATGATTTTTTTCAATCTATTGACAGCCCTAGTATAAAATATAAGTTGATACCTAAACAGAACCTAATGAAATAAATATTTCCTCTTCTGTATTTCTGTGATCGTAAGTTAAAAAGCTAGGCAGAATTGGTCAAATAGGGCAGCGAGACAGAAGTAATCGATACCTAGCCCATCGCTCCTGTAGACCACGTCAAACAGCTGGAAAGCAGTGCTCATGGCTTTGTCTGGGCGTGATGTAGCTGAGCAGCTTGACTGTTTAAACGTTTAAGGAAATTAACAACAGCGGTTGTTGACTAAATACTGTTGTTCAAGGTGCCAACATAGTAATGTTGTATTAAACTGAACTAGGCAGCCATGTCTCATTCACTGCTTTATTTTTTTTGTAGCACCAAAAAACGCAAACCACCAAATTTCACCTTCACGGCCACATGAGGTCATACTCATTGTTTGTCCTCGCAATGTTTCTGACGATGGGTTTGTTTTCTGTTAAAACTGCTGCGCTAACCTCTATTAAAGTTGTTTTACAGTTTTTTACATTATGTCATTTAGCTGACGCTTTTATCCAAAGCAACTTCAATAAGTGCACTTCAACCATTAGGATACAAACTAAAAAAAAACAACAAACAAGAAAGTGAAATTTCATTAAATAAGCTGATTTACAACTTGCTGTATATAACAGCCATTATATGTACAATTTTTAATTTGTTTATTTTTTTTAGTCAAAGGTATAGTCTGAAGAAGTTTGTCTTTAGTTTGCGGCGGAAGATGTAAAGACTCCTGGTGTAGTCTGAGCGCTCATTCCACCATTTAGGAGCCGGGACAGCAAAGACTCCTGATCTTGTCGAGTGTTTTGCTCTCAGTGCGGGAAGGAGAAAATTAGTTGGGTGTCATCGGCATAGCTGTGGTAAGCAAAGTCATGCGAGCGAATGACAGAGCCGAGAGAGTTGGTGTAGAGAGAGAAGAGGAGAGGACCCAGGATGGAACCCTGAGGAACTCCAGTAGTCCACACAGAGCCTCTCCAGGTTACCCGGTAGGTGTGCCCATCATATTTTACGGTTGAATATACCCTAAAATCAAAAGATTTGCACCACTATAAGCACAAGGTCAGCCTCACAATGTTTGCAAAACAATTCACACAGTGATTTGCAAAACACTAAACACGTGTTTGTGAACGATTCGAATCCTTACAAGGACTGTGAAGTAACGAGTCCTCTCAAAGAGAGATTTGTTCATTTTCTCGTGGCCGCACATCGGGACTGTTGCATAGGTTCAGTCAAGGAAACAGAAATGATCGTTCATTTCCCGACATTTACAATTTTCAGTTTAGTGCAGTGTAATTGTTTGCCGTGATAATAAATTACTTTCAAATCATCCAAACTGTTATGATACATGATTTTATGCAGGCATTGCTTTTAAATTAGTATCTGCTGGTTTACATGCACTAACCTACATGAGAATGTGATACATGTTTGCATTGATTGAAATGAAACAATAAAATGTTGAGCAATCCCCCCCCCCCGTTGAAATTAACGAATCACTCTAAAAAATA